GCCACCCAGGGGTGAGGACCCCGAGCAGCTTTGCTGTGCCAGCTTCTCCTGCCTGGAGCCCACAGCCCAGAGCTGCAACCACTGAGACCATGGTGTGGGGCAACCTCCCTGCCTCTGACATGCGGGCGTTGGGTGTGGCCACAGAGACAGCAGCTACCTCGCAGAGCCAGTGCAGCCTGCTCACTGCACACTGCTCTTACAGCCCTCGAAGCTGCACTGATGCCTGCACTTCAGCCGAATATATATATATATTCACAGGTATATGTGTGGTGGGGTATATAATCTCAAGCCCCTTTTCACACTATTCTGTCCAGTGGGAATGTAACAGATCTTTCTTTGTTTCTTTCTTTCTTTGCTTGTGGACAGCTCAGCCTGCATGTGGTCCTAGGGATCAAACCACAATCCCGGAGCTTGCCTATGCTTGCATAAGCAAGTGCTTTAGTCTGCTCAGCTATCCTGCCAGCCCTAACAGATATTTATGAACCGTTGCTGTATTACTGGGACGAATCCCACTTGGTCATGCTGTATGTATCACCTTCTTGATGATTGGCTGTGCTCATGAGAGAGATTGGCCCGTACTTGTCTTTTTCAGTTGAGTCTTTCTCTGGTTTGGTATCAGGGTAATATTTGCCTCCAGGAATGAGTTAGAGGCAATTGCTTCCCTTTCACTTTCACTGAAGAGTTCCAGAAGAATTGACATTAAATCTTTAACTATCTTATAGAGCTCAGCTGTGAATCCATCAGGACCTGGCTTTTCTTTGTTGATAAGTTTCTAATTAAATAATAGAACTAAGCCAGCCTTTGAAGAAATGGACTTAGTAGACCTTTAAGGTGTGCAACCAAGCAAATTAGACTGCACGTTCTTCTCGGATGCACGCGGGCCATTCTCCATGTGAGGACATAGGCTGGCACACGAGCATGCTTAACAGAATGCAAAGGGATTGAAATCATCCCATGTATGTTGTCTGACCACAGTGGAATGAATCTGGAAATTATTGACTGAAGAAATTGCAAAAACTCCACAAGCACATTGCAATTAAACAACACCCTCATGAACCATCAGTTGGTCACAGAAGAAATTGAACAATATTTACAATCACATGGAAGTACACACACAGCTTACCAGAACCTGTGGGAGGCTGTGAAAGTGCTCCTAAGGGGAGGTTATATCAATTCATGCATATGTGAGCTCCAGTTGAAGAGAGGTTAACAGTGTCAAAAAGTAAACAAGCCACGTGCACACCTATAATCCCAGCACTTGGGAGGCAGGGGCAGAAGGGTCACTGAGTGCGCAAGGCCAGCCTGGGCCATGGGCTGAGACCTTGTCTGGAAAAGACAAAAAGTAAAATAAAGTAAAATTAAATAAAATGAAACAAAACCACTACATGGTAGAACTGAACCAGGTAGACTTCATGATTCACTAATCATTAATGAAGCAATGATAATTAGCATTTATTCATAGTTTTAAATTTTAGTAGAGTCTACGGGGTCTACAGAGTCTCACTACCTAGGCCAGACCCAGATATTCTCCTGTTTTCGGTCTCCCAAGCTCTGGGCTTATAGGGCACGCCACCACGCCCAGTCTCAATCGCTGTCTCAAAGCGCCCTGCAGGCGGGGCCAGCACTGCACGCAGGGGATCGAAGCCCGGCCACTGAGTTGTTCAATGTTTAAGCTGAAATGTGTATTAACTGCTAGATTTGCTAAATAAAACTAATAGGAAGGTATGTACAATTTGTTATAATCAAAACGTTTTTACTATCCTTTAGAGCGCTCTCTCCGTTCTGCGATGTTTTGTACAAAACCGTAACACGAGAGCAGCACAATGAACACTTTTAATTGAGTACTTCTGCTTGCTAAATCTGCATAATTCGGGGGAGCCTATATAGATTTGCTGAAGAGGAAATGCGCCCTCAGGCTCTTGGCAGGTAGAGCGCACAGCGTGGATCTGCAGTGCTGGCGGCAGCAACGAGACGCAGAGGGGAGCGCACGGGGGAGCGCTCTCCGGGAAGCGCGAGTGTCCTCACGCCAGCACCAGACGGGGATTACCCGCCTCCCCATCACCTGTGGGCCTCCTCTGCCCCAGCTCACTGCTTTCGTGGGCTTCAGGAAGCCATCTCTCTGCACCTCCGCGCGTGACTCTAGCCCATTCGCCGCTCTGCACGCCCCTCCTTGAGTCTTCTCAGCAGTTCTTCTTGTCCCAGGACCCCGCGATCGAGCCCCTCTCGCTCCTAGCTGTCCCTCGGCTCCCAGCCCCTGTTCTCTCATCTCCTCGCCAGATCTGTCACTTACTGTCCCTGGTTTTTATCGGCTTTTCATCTTACTCCTTTCAGCATTAAGCAATTTTCTTTTACTCTTGTCAAATCTCCCAGGCCCTTTCATTCACTTCTATAACCATATATTTGATTAATAGCAATAACATTAAATATCTTACAAATAAAGACTATAGGTTAAGCCTAGTTGTGTTAACTTGGCTTGTGTGGAAGCAGCCGAGGGCACGAATGAAGCCTGTCTCTGGGTGGCCTCCAGCGCCACGTGCGGCCCAGGGTGCCCTCTTCTCCAGGACCGCCCCGCTCCCTGCCCCCAGCTTGGGGA